GTCTTCCTGATCCGTTCCTTTCACACTGACATGTCGGCGGTGGTTCGGGTAGAGAACACGACAACTGACCCTATCCGCGTCACGAATGGTCTCCGCCAGGGGTGCACCATGGCACCTGTGCTGTTTAACATCTTCATGTGGGCGGTGGTGATTGTGTGGCAGCGACGAGTCCGAGATGCACCCGGTGTTGGTTTTGAGTTCCGGGATGGGTTTGATGGTGACAATAACCTTTACCGCAAGCCTACCAGGACGGATCCGGTTGCCATTGCCACTGAGTCACAGTTTGCAGACGACTCAGCACTTTTCGCGACGACTCGTGCAGGGGCGGAGACGGCACTTGCAGTGTTTGACACGACCGCAGCTGAGTTTGGGCTTAAATTTAGCGCTACCAAGACACAGTTCTTGGTTGCAGGCAGGGATGTTTCACCTGGGGACTGCGCTCCAATCGAGCTAGCTGGCACGGTCATCGAGTGTGTTTCAGAGTTCCGGTATCTGGGATCTCTCATTCATCGCGGTGGCCGGTCGACACAGGACATCACTGCTCGGATTGCGCATGCCTCTTGTGCTTGTGGCGCCTTGCAAGGAACCATCTTCAGCAATCCTGACCTTGATTTGCATATCAAGAGGTGTGTGTTTAATGCATGTGTGCTGTCGCTCCTCTTCTATGGGTCAGAGTGTTGGACACCATTGCAACACGATCTCCAACGTTTGTCAGTCTTTCATATGCGGTGCATCCATTCCATCTTGGGTGTGTCCGGCAGAGATTGCTGGAATAATCACACGACCAACGCCCAACTGTTGGAGATGTGGGGTGACTCTGATACCATCTGCGTGAAGGTTGCACAGCGTCGCCTAGAGTGTCTGGGCCATGTTGCCCGAATGGACAGTAGCCAGATGCCGAGACAGATCCTGTTGGCTCACTTCCCACACGCCGCCCAGCACATGGCCCTCGCAAGCGCTGGAAGGATTGCGTTGTCTCCGACCTAAGAGTTCGTGGCCTCACCAAGGAATGGTACCCTATCGCCTGTGAGTCCTGCGCTGACTGGCGGACTATGTACGCCGAGCCTGTGGAGAATGTGCCTCAGCCTGACCCAGTGGTATGTGCGGATTGCAATCGGTCATTCTCGCGCCCTGGAGATCGTGCTAGCCACAAATGTGTGGTTGAGCGGGCAAAGCCGATTGCTGAGCAGCGAGGGGCTTGCCACTGTGGAGATTGTGGGCGCTGGTTTCGCAGCAAGGGTGGTCTAGCTGTTCACCGCTGTTTCGCACCTCAAACTCGGCCTCCCGAGCCCTGGCAAGTCTATGTGCAGGATGCCTGCTGTGCTGCGCACTGTGCTGTGTGTGCCCGCTGCTTTCGGTCTGTGCAAGGCCGCGGTCGTCACCGGTGCTCGAGGACTGGCCCGCGCCCGACTGCCCAGCAGCGTAATTCGTTCAGCCATGTATGCGTGTGTTCTCGCCAGTTCCGTTTGCCCCACCATCTTCGGCGTCATCAGGCTGCGTGCTCCATCTTCCTCTCTGATGCCCCTCCGGGGCCCACGTGACCCCTGTGGCAGTGGCTCTACAGGACAGGACAGGTGTGTGTGTGTGTGTGTGTGTGTGTCTAGTGAAAAAAGACTACAACGTAAACATGTATATCTAAACAACTTCTAAGACTACCATTTGCATCTTTTTCTCAAAGCAATGAGTAACTTAGACTTAGGGCATGTTCGATTGGTAAGGATCGGGATCCAGATCTCAGATCCGTCGGATCCTTCAGAGTCAACTGGACACTTTTTTGAGCTTTGACTGTTGCCATGTTGAAGAAGTAATAAAAAGTCGTACTCACCGCGCCAGTTGTATAAAAAGTCAGCAAGCTCTATCTCGATCCACGTGTGCGTACCGCAATGTGTACAGAAACGAGTTTTACCCGCCATATACGCACAAAGGTCACATTTGGATCCGTTGGATCTGGTCAACCCTGCTCCCCGAGGTGGGTTGACCGGATCCAAATCCGAAGGATCCGGATCCGGATTCAACCAAACGAAAGGGTGCGAATCCAGTGGATCGGGTGGATCGGGATCCCGATCCTACCAAACGAACATGCCCTTATGTGGCCTGGGCCGCAAAAACCAGGGTTAGGTGATATTTGGCGAAAATCAGTTTTTGATGGCTTTAAACTGTCCACTAAATGAGTGATCTATGGGCCAAATTTTGGAGCTCTGGGCAGCTTTCGAGAAGGTAAAAAGAACGCCCGAAATCATGGGTGAAGGTCGACACAAATGATCAGCAAAAAGGCGAAAAGGAACGCAGTTACAGTTGGCTCTTATGGAGTGGTTGAGAAGAAGTCAGCATATTTATAGGTCAAGAGGTTACACTAATCAGAACAACAGATGGCTTGATCAGTCACAACTTAAAGTTTCATGCCATCTCAGGCACTCATTTGGTGATATCGATAAAAAGGTTACATACAAGGGAATGGTCTCAAAGTGCTCAATGCAAGCGAGGCAGAGCTTCATCACACACAAGCGGAAAAAATGTCAGAGATCAAATTCCATTACACAGTGTTTCACCGTTCAAGCAACGGATCATCAGATGGATGATCAAACAAAGTATGATACACTGGTTATATACCCAGTGTATCATACTTTGTTTGATCATCCATCTGATGATCCGTTGCTTGAACGGTGAAACACTGTGTAATGGAATTTGATCTCTGACATTTTTTCCGCTTGTGTGTAAAAAGGTTACATATAATAGTTGATTGAGAAATGAGTTCGAGTTTGCAGAGTGAATGGGAAGAGAGCGAGTCCGCTCTGAAACCTTTTTTTTCCTATGCATGAAGCTGCAGGAAGCCTCACCGCTGCTACAGTCAAATCTGCCGTTAGCGACCTCTGCTGTAGGCGACCATCTACAGTTAGCGACCGATTTTCCGTGCACCGACGGTTTCACATGCAAATTGATCTGTCCAGAGCGACCATCTGCTGCGCGCGACCAGCGACCGCGATTTCATGCACGGTGGCTGCATTCAAATCTGCTGTAAGCGACCGCGCCCCACGTTCAGTCAGGTGCGACACTGTACAAGTACTTGCCAATGCACTGTCAACTGCAAGGTGTGAAAATGCGCTGTCTTGCATGCAAGTGCGATCGACTGGCCCTGGCATCCCTATATTCTATTGAATATCCACTAAAATGATATTAAAATTCACATTATTCTCGTCAATTTGAGTACATGGAAGCATGCATGCCCGGTATACCGGATTTACCATACATCTGCCGTAAGAGACCATCTGCCGTAAGAGACACCAAGGGGCGGTCGCTTACGACAGATTTGACTCTACTATTATTAATTAATTTTTTATAGGTGTTCAAGGCAACACAGAGCACTAGAGTTAATAATAGGGTAACATTGTTTCCTGCACTTGCTGCTATGAACTTGAAAACTCAATCCCTGTCATATGCAGGTCTGGTGTTGAGACGCAGACTTGTCAGACGGAAAGAAGCCAAGCAACTGACGTTTCCCAAGGCTGGGAAGACCTTACAATACGAGATATGCATGCTGGGCCAAGCCTGGTACATCCACCAAGCATGAATTGCTCTCCTACGCACAGCAGCTCGTAAACACCAGCATGATACTGTGCGGCAAATTTCATGTGCACAGCAAGCATGCATGTGTAGGAGTTGCATTATTTGATAGAACGGAGGACATTGATTCCTAGGTTCAAACCCCAGGATTGACAGTAGTTGCATTTTTTCTCTCCTTGCATGTTTTTGTATCTTTCCGTGGGTCACTCATGAGTTGTGTATAGGTAAAACCCGTATTCCTCCACTATACCCATGTGACTCTCTTTGGCGAACTATGATTGGCCGCTTAGTCTAATATTCCAGAATGTTCTCAATATTGTCGGTAACCGGTTATTGTAGAGTGCTCATTGGTCACTGACAGAAAACATGGCTGCCGCTTGCCGTGTGTTTTGTTTTCTTGCATTGTTCTTTTCTTGTGCTCTTTTACTTCTTATCTTTACTTGCCGAGTGTGCAACTAATATTCCGTCCTTACGATTATTCGTAAAAACCACAAAGTGAGTGCTTTATTTGAGTGTGTGTAATTGTCTCCGAGGGCCAGCTACTACACATGTACGCTTGCAACAATTTTGTTCACAAAACACCTTCTGTCCAGTAAGGTTTATTTCATTCAGGGCTGTCTCCGTATCTCACCAATTCATCCAGCTGCGAATAACTTCGTTGCCACCGAGTACTGAATCTCATTCTGCACTCTCAGCGCTGCTGTCCACATCGGCACTTCGTGTCACGGAACTCTCAAACTCATCGTCTACGCTGTCGCTGCTGATGGCTTTTCATCTGAGCGAAACTTCGTCACTTTCACCCGATTCTTCTTACCACAATGCTGTGGACTATGGCAGGCAGGGGAGTATCTCTGGAGATCGAGCCGCCAAATATTCTAGTCGCTCGTGCTCCATCAAGAATTTGTGACGTGATCGTTCCGCCAAGAAACTATTCGTTTTGCTCTCTTTCGAGCGCATGATTTTGCAGGCGCTACCCAGAGCATAAACGCCTCAATGGCGGCTGAAAACGTCTACCTGGACGTCCCAAGTGCTTGGCTGATAAACTACAATGGCAAAGACGACAAATTATAGTGAAGCCAACAAGAAGAAAGCCCTTTCAAAGCGATGGCGCAAGAAATCGCGGTGACTAAAACACGGAATCGGTTCGGTTTTTCGCCAATATTGGTGTCTTTGAAAAATCGCCAGGACCCCGGTTCTTGCTGCTGATGCCTCATAAAGTGTAAAATATAAAGATGTGTGTTCCTTCTTTCTCTGGGCATTCGTGTGTGTGTGTGTGCATGTGGGCATGTGGGCGTGTGTGCATGTTGACGTGTGTGCATGTGGGTGTGTGTGCATGTGGGTGTGTGTGCATGTGGGCGTGTGTGCGTGCATGTGTTTGTGTGTGTGTGTGTGTGTGTGTGTGTGTGTGTGTGTGTGTGTGTGTGTGTGTGTTAACGCAGATATCGACGAATGTGCGGTTGACCCGTCACAGTCTCCGTGCGCTCTCCAGAACGCTGTGTGCACAAACAACGCAGGCAGTTATACATGCCCGTGTAAACCTGGTTTCCAGGGACACAACTGCAACGGTACGTGTACTGTTTAAGCAGAAATATTCGTCTGGAATTTAATTTCGTCTTTTTCGTCCAAGGAGCTTTTTGGACTAAATTAATGATGCCGGACTAACGCCGATTTGTCCAGCTTTTCAATCCACTCTTATGATCCATGGACGAAATATACAACCGGACGAACTGGCTTTCTTTGGAGTTGGACGAAATAATTGAGCGACGAAATTATCCGCCTATACAATATGTAGTGTGGTGATGTGACCAGTGCAGATGTTAGCGGCTGTACATTTTCTAGCCTTTTGATCAGCAACATTTTGACATCAATTTGTTCATGTAATGGTGAAGTAGATTGCCCGAACGTTAATCTCATCATTTCCGTTAGTGAGAGACTTCCTTTGTCAGGTGCTTTGCAAATGTAGGCAATAGGGTCTGAGGCATGACATTCCGTTTCTGCCATTGCCTCTAACGTATTTTTGCCCCAGATATTAATGAATGTGATGCTAACCCTTGTCCTAGCCGGGCTGGGTGTGAGAACACAGTTGGAAGTTTCAAATGTTCCTGTCTGCCCGGTTACAGTGGTAGTGTCACTGGCATGAACTGTACAGGTGGGTGTACGTGTGTGTTTGTGTGTTACATGTGTGTGTGTGTGTGTGTGTTCCGCAGAGACTGCTTGTTCAACACGCGCCTCAGAGAGTGTCGCAGAGTGACTATAAGAGAGTGTCAGTTTGCGGACGATTCGTCGCTGTTCGCCAAAACCTACGGCGGTGCTGAAAGGTCCTTGGCCACGTTTCAGGAGGTTGCAGCATCTTTTGGCCTGTCAGTCAATCTGGGCAAAACTAAGTTCATGCCTATGGGCGTTGGTGTGGTGGCGTCGGATATGTTGCCTTTGGGTGGAACCGTCGAATGCGTGGACAGCTTTCGCTAACTTGGCTGCCAGATCACTCCTGATGCAAGGAGTAGCTTTGATGTCTCTCGCAGGATCGCCGCAGCTTCGGGTGCATTTGGCGCCTTGGAGAAGGCTGTGTTTGCGAACTCCGAGTTTCCTATCGGTCTCAAGCGTGTTGTGTACAGAGTCATTGTGTTGGCAGTACTCTTCTACGGTGTTGAGAACTGGACACCGAGGCAACGGGATCTCCTGCGTCTGGAGTCGTTTCACCTGCGATCTATTCGCATGGTCCTGGGCATCAGTTGGGCGCGCCAGATGGACGAGCACGTGACAACCTTTCAGGTACGGCAGTGGTGGAGAGACATGGAGCAGGTCTCTGACAAGGTCCGGGGCTGTCGTCTCCAACGGCTGGGCCACCTGGCTCGCATGGATGACCGTATTCCCCGCCTTTTGCTCTTTGGTGCCTTGCCGTCTAAACGACCTCCATATGGCCCCCGGAAGAGGTGGAAAGACCCAGTCCAACATGACCTGGCGGCGGTGTCCATTGGCATGAATGAGTGGCTTGACACAGCAGATGCTAGGTCTGAGTGGAGAACCAGGTGTCAGGATGGAGTCTACAGCGTGGTATGCTCTCGTGTACAACCTGCCGTGAAACCACTCCTGTGTATGGTCTGCACACGCCGTTTCAGCCGTCCTCAAGACATCGCTAGACATAGTTGCACCTCCCGTCGCTCTGCAAAAGCAAAAAAACAAACAGTGAAACAGCCGTTCACGTCCCGCCGGACTCGCAGGGCCTCATGCCGCGTCCCGAAGACGGCACATAGCCAATCGTAGCAGTCGGCGAAGGGAGGAAGGAAGGTGTGTGTGTGTGTGTATCTGTGTGTGTATATCTCTCTCTCTCTCGCGCGCTCTCTTACTCTCTCTCTCTCTTTCTCTCTCTCTCTCTCTCTCTCAGCTCAAGTGGAAAAAGACTGCAACTTCTATGACTACCATTTGCATCTTTCTCTCAAAGCAATGAGTAACTTAAGACTTATGTGGCCTGGGCCGCAAAAACCAGGGTTAGGTGATATTTGGCGAAAATCAGTTTTTTGATGGCTTTAAACTGTCCACTAAATGAGTGTGTCTATGGGCCAAATTTTGGAGCTCTGGGCAGCTTCCCAGATGGTCAAAAGAATGCCCGAAATCATGGGTGAAGGTCGACAAAAATGATCAGCAAAAAGGCGAAAAGGAATGCAGTTATAGTTGGCTGAAACTCACTGCGCCGCATATGCAAGTCCCCTAGCATTCACTGACCAGAAAAAGCCACTTCATAGCTGTGTGGTGTAGACCAGGCTGAATACTGTACAAGCAGAAATATTCGTCTGGAATTTAATTTCGTCTTTTTCGTCCAACAAGCTGCTGGACTAAATTATATGTCGGACTAATGTTGATTTGTCCAGCTTTTCAATACACTCTTATGATCCATGGACGAAATTTACAACCGGACGAACTCTCTTTCTTTGGAGTTGGACGAAATTATTGACTGACGAAATTTTCCGCCTCCACAGTAGTAGCGGTCAATTCATCAGCCTTGCAAGCTGTTGAATGGTGCAATCCCAGCACAAGTTGCTATGTCTAACATAGCTGTTCGCTATCATCGCTTCCGCGATGGGCAGGTCTGAGGTCTGAGGTGTGTGTGTGTGTTTGTGTGTATGTGTGTGTGTGTGTGTGTGTGCGTGCGCGTGTTTGTTCACGCAGATATCAACGAATGTGAGGTGGACCCGTCACAGTCTCCGTGCGCTCTCCAGAACGCTAAGTGCACAAACACCGCAGGCAGCTATACATGCCCGTGTAAAGCTGGTTTCCGGGGACCCAACTGCAACTGTGAGGAGATGTATGCAGCTACCAACTGGTGTATATTCAATAGCCAGTTGATCAGCAACATTTTTGCATCAATTTGTTTATGTTAGAGCTGAACCGATACGCAGACACTGCTTGACGATAACCCCAAAGCTGTGTTTACACGACAACGCTGGGGGCGAAAAGAAAACGAAATCCTTTCGGAACCATGGTTCATTTACACGGCACGCGGAGCAAAACGTAAAAGTTGTACACCAAAACGGAAGAAAACCAAAAACGCTGGCCAAGGTGGAAGAATTTGGAAACGGAAACGTTCTGCCGGATATATTTGGGTGTGTAAACAGTCGAAACTTTGTGCTGGTCTCGTTTTCCGTCACGTTTGTTTCGTTTTCGGCCGTTTACATGTATCCGACAATCCAAAAAATGGTTTTACAATTTCCGTCATGTGACGTGTGTTGCCCTGTGCCTGTTTTCAACCATTACTTGAGTGTGATTGGTGCTTCCACGGCAACACTTGGCACATGACGAACTTTGGCGGATCCTTTGCTATCGTGTAGACGAAAACGATACAAACGGAGACCACCTCGGATCGGCTATGATCGTGTAAACGTACGAAAAAAGAAATGCAGGATTGAAAACGGAAAACTGGCCGTGCGTTGTCGTGTAAACGCAGCCTCAAATAGAGAAAGCGAAAAGGGACGTTATCCCGATTTTTGTGCGTTTTGAGTTATCAATAGATTCTTGTAGCCAGGAGATGTACGAAGCACATGAAAAAACCCGATTCAAAATCGATACACGGATAGCAAAGTTCAGGGCATTTTCCACGATGCATCGCATATATCGCATTGTTTTCCACGAAAATATCGCATACATTTTCATGGACAATCTTCATGCTGCGCAGCTTTGCAGGTACTACGTAGCCTGGGAAGGTTTGGGCGCAGTCGTTACGACCTACAGTTCTGATTTTTGATCGCCAATGCGTGGAATGTTTGTCGATTTAGACAGGGTTTTCTTCCACGGGTGTGGTGCTGTATGTTACTGGATCTCCTATACACAGAGTGAATTTGCTCCAAAGAAGTCTCGTATTACCGAGAAACGCACAGTTTCAAAAGTTCCATCCGAACGTGACAGCCGGAAATCAGCTGATTGACTTCAAGTGCGATTGTCTCAAAATCAAGTGCCGCGGGATAACGTCCCTTTTTCGCTTGCGCTGGATTTTAGCAGAACAATTGATATCTCGATATAATGATATTTGAAGCAGGGCATCTGGTTGTCATAGCCGCGCGCGGCTGGCCCGGGAAAGTGGTCCGCGCTAGGCCAGCGTGCGCACTATTATACTGTCTATTCCCAGTACTCTGCGCATCAAGATAGAAGCCTCGATCATTGTCAACGTGACGTCGCAGCTTAAAGCACAGCGCAACAAGGTCCTGTACGAGTTACGGTCAGAGATCAAGAAGAGATCAATATCCAAGCTGGAGTCAAGGGCTGCAGAAATAGAGACAATGAGAAATGATACGGCAAAGATGCATGCTGCAGTCAAGTCTCTAAGAAGGAAACCCACAGAGATCCACGTTCAGAACAGCGATGGCGCGCTGGTAAATCGTCCAGAGCAGAAAGCGGAACTTTAGTCGATCTCATGTAATAGGACAACACTGCCTGTTTGTTATTCGACGTTAAATAAACCAATCCAATCCAATATCAGGTCACTTTCAGACTCAGTTTTCTCACTCCAGTGCGGAACCCCTTCCGAGCAAGGGTGATGTGTTTGTTTCACAGGTTACACAGTCGCAGGTCTGCAAAACCACGAGCAGGCTGAAGAATAGGCGTTCTCCAGGCCCTGATGGTGTCCACAGCCAGAAAGGCCCTAGCAACCCAGGCATTCTGTTCGTTGTACGCACTCTTCAAGCATGAATCCACCTCACTACTGCTTAGAGTTGCGCTGTACAATACCTATGTGAAGCCAGTGCTGTTGTACAACTGTGCGACATGGGGTCTCACAGATGCCACCACCAGAGGGATTGACACCTTTCATCGAAGGCATCTGAAAACAATGGCTGGCGTTAAGTTCCCAAACACAATTACCAACAAGCATCTGTACGACATCTGCGGCTCAGCACAGATTTCGCTCGAGATTGACCAACGACGTAGGGAGTTCCTCGGTCACGTACTGAGAATGCAGAAGAGCTCTCCCCCACAGCGCGTGTTAGAGTTTTCAGCCACCGCGAGCCTGCGCGGTCGACTGGGCCGACCCAGGACAACTCTCCTCTCAGCTCTTTCTCAGGACTGCCTAGCCCGACTCGGCATTTGCCTGGGTATGCTTAGAGGCCTTAATCAGCTGCGGCAGTTGGCAGGGGATAAGTCACGGTGGAATGGCACCCCGCGGCACTCATCTTCCTCTGCCGAGCCGCGTCCTTGACTTATCCCCTGCAGGGTGAACATCCTGCACGAACAGTCTACCGTCTTTCTGACATTGCCATTCGAACTTGACAATAGAAGCTGCTTTCCGTATATGCAGTTACATTGAGCCATGGTGTTTTTATTTTATTTTTGTCAATCCTTCCCGGAAGCAAATGCTGATTTTTGTGCATTCGTGTAATTACGCAGCGTTATTTGCAATAATAATAATAATAATAATTCCCAGTATGTACCGTAATTCCCCGAGTATAAGTCACACTCAATTATAAGTCGCACCCCCATTTTCAGGTTTTAGCCAAAGAGATTAGATATATTGACTTCAGTAGTATGTCATGCTCGATTGTAAGTCGCACCCCCTTTTTCACCCTTGAAGTTTAGTGTACAAAGGTGCGACTTATACTCGGTGCAATACGGTAATGTAGGGGTGGGCGTGTCTCATGCCAGTGAGCAGTGCGGCCCGAACCCAGTACACCGTGCACGCAGCATCAACATCACTGTTGCTTGCAGTCTAGCACCTCAAACACGTGTATGCACATGTTGTGGTAGCTATTGTTATAATTATTAGACACCGTTAGCAAACAACAGTAACGCTATTTTTTTACGGTACTCGTACCCTTATCACCCAAATAGCATTGAAGCTGCAGCGTAAAAACGTTACGGGGGCTGATTTATCGTTGTGACAAACGGTATGTTTTTTTTGGCCAAAATATTGCATAGTCCGTACGCATTTCACCTTGTATCGCGTATATGGTGACATAAATGGTTGTACCGCGCGAAGTAAAAGCTATTCTCGTGGCAACAGTGTACTAAAAATGGCGTGCATCTTGCTAAAGGTCGAACCCAAATCACGGTATTTTCCTCCTAACGGTAATACCGTTACAACTAAACTTTTTTTGCTAAGGGTGTCTATTGTTAGTGGCAGCTAACGATAATCGATAGTAGATTCGATACCTTCCTTAACCCTTTCAGTGCTAATGACGAGATATCTCGCTCTGTAAAGTGTGCCTGAACGGTGGATGACGAGATATCTCGCTCCACGGCCCACGCAATAGTACCAAGTGCATATGTCACTGTATGTTGTGAACCCTCCAAGATTCTCTAAATTGTCAGGATCGTACGACCACACGGCACGAGGACGACTGTTTTCCTTTACACAGTATATTTCACTTCATCTGATAATTAACAATGAACACTAATAACACCAGCTATTTATAGCATGCAAAAAGAGCGTACATGCAAAACATAAGCATGTAAAACTGGACATCACAGCGTATACAGCAAAACGCACACAACGCATATAGCGTATGCCATGCAGCAACATCAGCGGTACGGCGGAGTCGAAATACAACATTTCAACGAATACAATGCCATAAGCGCGAAGGCCTTTCCCAATTGAGAACTGGTGGTTTACAACATTCTCCCCACCAAAGGGCTTCTCACCGCCGTACAACAATGCACACAAGTCAAAAAAGATCCGGGGCTCTGACTACGCGCCCAGAACGCGTCATCTCCTGCTGCCGTGGTGGTGGTAACGGTGCTGACGGTTCATACGCTGGCTGCTGAGGGACGATAGCAGGTTGAGCGGTATCGGCAAGCCCAGGGGCCACGTCCTGTGACGTTACTTCTAATGGCACTAACCTTTGGATCGGCCTCAACAGGGTACTGGTACTCAACTTCACCTTGGCAACACGACGCTTACCATCTCGACCAGGGAATAACTCGATGATCCGTCCCAAACGCCAGAACTGTTTGCGCTTGGTATCATCGAGAACAAAGACAACATCACCCATAGCTAAAGGGCGCGACATGGTCTGTTGGTGCTTGTTCAGCTGACTTAGGTACTCCACCTCCCAACGATTCTTGACATGCTCCAGTGTCCGACTGAGGTAACGCAATCTCGATGACATCTGCGCAGCGTCCAGGGTACCTGCTGGCTTTTCTGACGACATCCAGATGTTACCCATCATCATTGCAGGGGTTACTGGTGGCTCATCCAGGCTATCAGACACATAAGTTAGCGGACGACTATTCACCACTGCTTCAACCTCATACAAAAGGGTCTCAAGCTCCTGGACCTTCAGAAACGCTGTTCCCATTACCTTGTTCAAGGCACTCTTCACTGTACCAACCATTAGCTCATAGAAGCCTCCATGCCATGGTGCAGCTGGAGGATTGAACATCCATGGTACACTCAGTTTGTCAGATGCCGCCTTGAACGTTGTAGCGTTGTCAGACCTGATCCGAGACGGCAAACTACGTCTCGCGACAAACTTCCGAAATGCCATCAAGAATGACTCGGTACTTAAACTATCGACCACCTCCAAGTGAACTGCTCTGGTGGTGGCACACACAAACAATGCTATCCATACCTTCGGAGATGACTCACCACGGCGCACGTACAACGGACCAGCATAGTCGATGCCGGTAGTTGCGAACGGTCTCTCGTGAACAACTCGGTCTTCTGGCAGCGGCGGGCAGACTTCTGAGGCAGCCTTAGCCTTGTAGCGGCGGCATGTAACACATCGCTGAGTAATGTTGCGTAGCGCTCGTCGACCACCGATAATCCAGAATTTCTGACGGATGAACGACAAGACTCCTTCTACACCTTGGTGCATCCTTTCAACATGCTTTTTCTCCAACAGCAACTCGGTCAGATGATGTCTGCCTAACAGGACTGGGTGCTTGGCTCCATATGCCAACTCGCTGTGCTGAAGTCGTCCCCCAGCTCTGAGCACTCCATGCTCATCCAGAAACGGTGCAAGCTGATACACCTTCGACCCGGGCTTCACTGGTTGACCTTGCTTGATCAGCTCAAGATCCTCAGCGAAACATGCGGCTTGAACGATGCGGTACAATACGTTGTCTGCTGCAAAATAGAGTTCAGCACGAGGCTCAGTGTGCTTCCACTGCAACATCCGAGTCACCATGCCCTGTGCCCTCGACCATTTACTGAATCGGAGCCACCATTCCTTATCAGGTTCTCGACTACAGGTGGTGGCTGACACTCGTACTTCTACACTGGACTCATCTGTAGCTGCGGTTGAGGATGCAGTGGGCCAGTCATTGGGCTCCGCGATCCAGGTTGGTCCGCCCCTCCAGAACGGACTACGGATCTGCTGTGCACTATTCCCACGCGACGGTAAATCTGCTGAGTGGTTCCACACAATGCCGACCTTCTTCGATATCTCTTGGACTTGACTGACGCGGTTAGCCAAAAATGTTTTCCATTTGTACGATGGATTACTGATCCAATGAACGGTAGTGAGACTGTCAGTCCAGCCATAGACTTGCGTGACGGTCACACGCAGCTCCTTCACCACAAACTCAGCGTAGCGAGCCGCTAGACATACTGCTTGTAACTCAAGGCGGGCTAACGTGGGCGGAGACACAGGTGCCACTTTGGCCTTGGCAAATACCAAGTGCGACTGTCCATTGACGACTGCATACAAACAACATCCAAACGCTTTCTCACTGGCATCGGCGAAGGCATGAAGCGCAATCGGCGTGTCAAGATTGCAGCAAATCCAACGTGGTATGTCAATGCTCACCACTTCGGCCAACTCTCCCCACCATTGCGCACATGCGGCTGCGATGCCATCAGGCAACATATCATCCCAGTCGCCTCCGACTTTCCAGGCTTGCTGTAGCAGTATCTTTCCCGGCACAACTGCCAGTGCTGCTAGACCTAGCGGATCAAACACTGATGCAACACACTTGAGGAGGGATCGCCGGGTCCAAACAGACGACCTATCGGACTCGCCTAGTGCTGCTATGCTGAGCAAGTCATCACTGGTTTTCCATTTCAGACCGAGGACTTTATCTCCGGCGTCTGGATCGCACGGGATTTCGTTGCCTCGCCACTTGCGTAACTCCATGCCAGCATCCGTAAGCACACGCACGCTGAACTCTTGCATCTCCTTGGCTTCCGAGGCATTTGAGACACTAGAGACCAAATCGTCAACGTAGAAACTCGTGAGCAAGAGATCAATACGATCTCGCTCTTTGGGTGCAGACAACGCCCGTAGCTCCTTCAAGTGATGCTGAATCACCGCAGTAAGCATGTACGGCGAGCAGTTTACGCCAAATGGCAGTTTCGTTAGCCTCCAGGTTAACAGTTCATCGCTGTCGCTTCGACCGGGCCACAAGAAACGCAGGTACGGACGGTCTTCGGGATTAACCGCGACCATGAAGAAAGCCTTGCGGATGTCCGCTTGCAGCGCGCTCTTATATTCACGGAACCGTAATAGCGTACCTGCGAGACTCGGCAATAGCGACGGTCCAGGGTCAACCATGTCGTTCAACGACTTGCCATCTGGAGCCGTCGCCGAGGCATTGAACACCACTCTTAACTTCGTGGTTGCAGCGTGCTCGCGGAATACACCATGATGCGGTACATAGTACCCGGCATCGCTCTCACATGGCTCCAGCTCAATTGCTCCAAGCTCGCGGTACTCCCTGATCAGCACATCATCATAGAGCGCACGCTTCCCATTCCTCTTCAGCTTTTCAAGAAGCCGCGTTGCGATGACTCTAGCTTGAGCAAAGTTATCCGTTGGGCGACGCTCATTTCGCCACAAGAGACCCACTTGGTACACGCTGCCCTGGCGACATAGCGGGAACGATGGCAGGTGCTGATGTTGTTCTGGAGGTTCATCCAACTGCCATAGTTGTTCAATGTGGGCTGTAACACATGACACGGTCACCGGCTGACTGTTTCGACTTGTTGCAGACGCTGGACCAGATAATACATTACCTATCTCTGTGTTCCACACCGTCTCACCATTAACTTCCTTCTTGCTGTGCAGTACCGCGTTGATATAGTCTGCACCAATCAGCATATGTATTTCGTCTGATGTCCCTTGTTGAGGCTTGTCACTCAGCTCTACTCCCCAACTGTGCCACTGCGCAATGGTCTGCGGACTTGCGCACTTCAAGTCCAGCTCAAGCGTTGGTTTCACGAACGCGCGTACCCGAATGCTAGCGGAGCTACCCTGGATCGTGATGGCGTACTTATCCATGCGCTGTTGGGTTGGTTCCGCGCCGAACGGCTTCACCTCTACATTTTCAACCCCAACGTGTTCTGCATCGATTGCTGACACCAACGCTGCAGTCACGAATGACGCCTCAGCACCCGAGTCCAGGAACACGCGAACCTTCGCGTTTCGAGTTCTTCCCTCAACTCGTGCCACTCCGGTCATCAGCCGCACACTTGGCGAGTGTAGACAGCACGACCCAACATTCTTCTCCGTAACTATCTCAATCGGTTTCTCCCGGCTGTAACCTGCTCTATCCAACACATCATGTATTAGCAGGTGGTGTTTCCTCTGGCATTTCGTGCATCTCGAGCCTGACCGACATTCTCTGGCCATATGGCCATACTTAAGGCAGTTCCAGCAGAGTCTCTCTCGCTGCAGAAAACCCTTTCTCCCTTCCTGTGGCAGCGACTTTAGCTGCTTCTCTGCATCTGCGACCGATATCGCCATGCACTGTGCCGACGCCGTGGGCCTTGGCACGGATCGTTCTACTGGCTTCCTGGCAGTATCACCCTGTCGTCCGTGCGCGACCTGGTAAGACGCGCCGTGCTCCTGTACCTGGCGCAGTGACATCCCGTAGCACTGCCGTTCGACCAGGTACGTCTTCATCTCAGGTCCGCATTGCTCCAAGATTACCTGCTTTGCCATTGCTTGCAGCACCGGGGACATTTTTCCTATATCGGCGCTATACTTGGTGTCCACCTCGCCATCTTCTGTCATAGCGAGTGTGGCCCACACCTCTACCTCTCGGCAAACACGGACAACGTATTGATGAAACGACTCATCTGACCGCTGCTTGCCTGTCAGCAATCTCTTCCACGCTTTATCCGGAGTCTTTCCGAGCGAGGCAAGCAACTATCGTTTTGCTTCCTCGTAATTATTGCATCCAATACATATCCTCTCCGCTTTGCTACCCGCTAGCGCGATGCGCAGTCGCAGCAGCCATTCGCTTTCTTCGAACTCGTTCTTGGAGCAGATGTCCTCGAACAGGTCAAGATAACGCTCCAATGGCTGCGTTCCATCATATGAGGGATTTTCATCAACGGTTGACGCCCACCGCTGTGACTGGGAGATTCCTCTGTACCTCCCATCGCAGCTTTACACTCACCCTCATGCGCATTGGCGATGCGCTCGTTAATCTCCTTTAGTGTTTTGGCAAACTCGGTGCGGAGCGCCTCCTCTTGCCGTCTGGCACTGCGCTCCTCACGCTCCGCGTACTGTTGGAGCCTCTGCTCCACATGTACCTTCAACAACTCGCCTTCTAATCCTAACCGCTCTCCATTGTCGATAAAGCTGGCTTCCAAATTGTTCCATAGTTCCTCTGCCATGCTCGCTCCTATCCTGGCGTGGTCGCCAAATGTTGTGAACCCTCCAAGATTCTCTAAATTGTCAGGATCGTACGACCACACGGCACGAGGACGACTGTTTTCCTTTACACAGTATATTTCACTTCATCTGATAATTAACAATGAACACTAATAACACCAGCTATTTATAGCATGCAAAAAGAGCGTACATGCAAAACATAAGCATGTAAAACTGGACATCACAGCGTATACAGCAAAACGCACACAACGCATATAGCGTATGCCATGCAGCAACATCAGCGGTACGGCGGAGTCGAAATACAACATTTCAACGAATACAATGCCATAAGCGCGAAGGCCTTTCCCAATTGAGAACTGGTGGTTTACAACACTGTACAAACTGTCGTAACTCGTGTCAACGGCGGCCGATTTTCACAAACGATATACCGTTGCAAAAGGTATTGAGCTCAGCTTTCTAGTGATATGAAGTTGCGATAGGACTAAATTTGAGTGAGCGATGACGAATAGAATTGCAAAAAATCAAAAATACGCTTTCTGGCCATCAAACTTTTTGCTCGCGACTCGCTTTTTTTTTTAGGGGATTTCCCTTTGCCAGCATCTGCCCCTCGTACACCGTGCTACAGCAGGTACAGGTGCTTTGCGTGCGCGTGTGTGTGTGTGTGTGTGTGTGTGTGTGTGTGTGTGTGTGTGCGCACGTGCGTGTTTGTGTGTGTGTGTTTGTGTATTTGTATGTGTGTTTGTGTGTACATTGTATGTATGTGTGTGGGTCTGTGCTTATGGTTTTGTCTTCTCTCGTGCCGCAGATATTATGGTCCACACCCCAAACCTGGCCAGCATTTCCTTGGCGTATTCAGTACAGAAACTCGAAGTGGATGTTGAGTATTACGACTCCTGTTCAGATCGGTGGTTGGCAACAGACGAGTTTACGGCGGAGATCATGGACCTTCCATTCCAGGTTGTCATGCCAGATTGGCACGTGGGAAAGTACTTCCGATCACGGCTGAACATGTACTCGCCAGTACGCCAAACGATTTCAATTGCCTACACAGGAGTGCCTCCTCTAGGTGAGATTTCTGGTTTCTTGCTTGTTTATTTTATTTTATTTCACCTAGTGAACAGGCATTTCTGCCTTCTCACCAGGTCCAGAGACCAAGTTTCGACAAAAAAGATGAAGAGCATTCAGAACAGTAAATGAAAATACATGTACACGGATATTAAAGGTGATTAAAATCATGCAGAAGATTATTATGAAAGCGAATAAAAATGACTGAGTCCCAAGACATGAAGGGGATGGTCAAATTGTCACCGCTTTATTAGGAGTTGCATCTGAGCCTTGATCCTTCTCCTTTCCTTTTAGATTGTTCTCGCATCGTTAAGAAAGCGAATAAAAGTGATTGAGTCCCAAGACATGAAGGGGATGGTCAAATTGTCACCACTTTATTAGGAGTTGCATCTGAGCCTTGATCCTTCTCCTTTCCTTTAGATTGTTCTCGCATCGTTAAGAAAGCGAATAAAAGTGATTGAGTCCCAAGACATGAAGGGGATGGTCAAATTGTCACCGCTTTATTAGGAGTTGCATCTGAGCCTTAATCCTTCTCCTTTCCTTTTAGATTGTTTTCGCATCGTCTCCATTGCTTGGCATTGTTTTTACATAAAGTAATCCAAATGTCACTTCAGCTATTTCTCCCCATCGCGATATACTAAGTAGAGTTTATACGTCAATATTATACTATTTTTAGTACACACGATGAGAGGACAGAACAAGTGTTTTACTCTGAGTTTCACTCTGAGTTTCAAGCGATCATCAGAAAACACAATGATGATCGCTCCGTGCGTGAAACTCGGAGTAAAAACACTTTCTCTGTCCTCTCATCTTGTGAACCAGCTCTGCCTCTCGGCATTGAGCACTCTCTTGGAAAGCCTGGAACCTCTCTGTTTTACTATTTTTAGTATTCGGTAATCTAGATTTTCGCGTTCCACCCACTAGTGTAAAGTAGTGTAAAACCTGTCACTAACGACCACCCATTGGAGCTAGAGAGAGCGGTCTTTGCTGGCAGGTGGTCCTTAGTTAGAGTTTTGAACCGCACAACCATAATGTGAGACCGTCCGTGCCTGACCGAGTGGTCTGTAGTACCAGGCTGGTCGCTAGTCACGGTGGTCTTTAGTTACAGGTTTTGCTGTAAAGGTTTGTCATAGAGCGGGTAAGGACGGATAGAGCTGCTGACTACAATGACCACATTTATGCGCGTGGACTGCACGATCCCTCTTCTCTCCTTTTGTCTGTACATTCTAGGTTATCCCACCTTCGACTTTCCCAGCTTCCCATACCTACTTTCCGCCACGGCAGTGGACAATACGACATTAGCGGAGGTTACCCTGTCTCTACCAACCCTGCAAGGGTCTCAAAATCTCACCGTTGAATTCGGAGACGCAGAGAGCATTTATATGGCAGCCAACACGTCCACCAGTTCTATATCGAGAAGGGTCAACGTCGACGTCAGTCGCGAATACCAGGTCCGCGTTTACAACCATGCCGCTCAGGATAAAGCTGCATCTGCATCCATGGTAGTGTACATTAATATTGCAGGTGAGTGCGCTCTGCTGCTCTAACTATTGGATATAGACAGTGTGCAGAAATTCTACAATACTGAAGTGTAAAGCTGACCTGAAATTATCGTGCATTCTTAGTAATTTCTTGAAAGAGAGAGACAGAGACGTAGATAGATAGATAGATAGATAGATAGATAGATAGATAGATAGATAGATAGATAGAAAGAGAGAGAGAGAGAGAGAGAGAGACAGAGAGACAGAGAGAGAGAGAGAGAGAGAGAGAGAGAGAGAGAGAGAGAGAGACAGAGAGAGACAGAGAGACAGAGAGACAGAGAGAGACACACACAGAGAGAGAGAGACAGAGAGAGAGAGAGAGAGAGAGAGAGAGAGAGAGAGAGAGAGAGAGAGAGAGAGAGAGAGAGAGAGAGAGAGAGAGAGAGAGAGAGAGAGAGAGAGAGAGAGAGAGAGAGAGAGAGAGAGAGAGAGAGAGGAGAGAGAGAGAGAGAGAGAGAGAGAACGAGACAGAGACAGATACGTAAAGATGATTGCCTTCTACATACTAAATGTGTCTTGTTGCCACATCAAAGCAAGTGAATGTACAGTAAGCACCACTGTCGTCTGTCTCAAGCACCACTGTCGTCGCAAAAGGGATTTTATCGTCCCTGCTTGAAACAAACATCATTCTTTTGGGAGGAGGGGGTGCGAGCCAAAATTGCAAGTCGACCGACACTGTACACGTTGTCCAGCATAGCAAGCTGTGTTCCTTACAGAGAAGGGGGGGGGGGTCCGAGTACGAAATGACCGATGTTAGTTTCTGGGACCACAAGACACTTTTGTGACGACCCCTTATCAATGCGACAATCCAGAGCATGTGCTGGGACAGCCAACCTAGGCTTAGGCTGCGTACGTTTCAAGCTACCTGGTAGAGTCATTCTACCGATAGAGGTAGAAGGTAGAGGTAGGTCCACGAACACTGTCCTTTCGGATTCAGTGATTTTTCACGATAGTTTAAAATACATGTACGTGAGATGTTTCGTTCTGTATGACGTCAGGTCCAACTCCTTGATCTTGCTGGAAACCACGTCCCTCTACCGACTTCTAACGAACTCTACCAGCTTCAAAACTTGGTAGAGCCGGTAGAGGAAGGTAGAATCTACTCTTTTGAGTAGAAAAGGAATGCACCTACAGAAAGAATAATTCGTTTCTACCCAAACCTGTACGGTTCAGAAACGAACGCTCCCTCACAGTCCATTTCAAAACTATAGACGTGCAGTGTTTTTGAAATAATTATTTCAAACTTGGCTGGCACTTTTTGAGAACAGTTTTCGGAATATTGCTCAGGTCCGCTCCACAATTACTCTCATAATAATAGTTTCTAAACGATTGGATAACAGACGCCCAATTTGGAAAATTGTATGCACAAAGTGATCACAGATTTTATGTGGTATAGATGCTGGCATAACGGTTTTTGCCTAGGTACGCGTCTATAGTTTTGAAATGGACTGTAGTGTCGTCCTGTTTGCAACAGCAAAGCAATGTGTTCTTGATGTGATTTGTTACATGGACTGCAGGCGCATGCAGGTACATGGGACAGTTCTATCGGAGCGGCGAGCAGTACCCGAACTCCTGTGGACCCGGCAACTGCACGTGTACCGTAAGTGAACATTCTGTGCTAATTGTCTGATATGTCTGGAGTTCGTGCTGTTCCCTCTCTATCACATCATCTACAACCATGACACACATGAACTTATGAACATTGTACACTACCTACTGCATGATAGGGACCGGCGGATTCTGCTCGAAAAGGTGGCAGATTCTGCTCGAAAAGCAGTGAAATTGGCAGAACCATACAAACCTTATGGCGGGCAATTCCTCGAATTCTGCTCCATTTCTTTATCCACATACCAAACATGCATGAAACTTACCAGAGTACCAAAGTACCGAATTCTGCCATTTTTTCTGCCGGCAGAATCCGCCGGACCCTACTGCATGATACTTAAGTTGTAACTGCTCATGTAGATGAACTCGGATGGTGAGCCAATTTAATTATGGTAAAAATGAAGAAAGACAAAATGTTACGAGTTATGACTAACTGTCCACCAACGTAACCGACTGTATAAGATTTGGTTATGTTGGTGGCCAGTAACTGTTAGTCATAACTCGTAACATTTTGTGCTTCTCCATGTTTGCTGATGTAGTGACATCCTTTTTCCCGGGCATACGGTTAAACCTAAGTCATCATTTTTCATCATAGATTAGGATCTACCATTCGTTATCCACACGAAGAAGGCAGCGATTTATTCATTTCATCTTCCCGTGGCCAGAGAATATAGGCCAATATGGAGGGAGGGGCGCGGCAGCCAGCCATGGCAGTAAACAAAAACAAAGCAAAAAAACTAAATATTACACATTACTGGAGGCAAAGAGAAACAAATCTGGATGAAGAACTAGCAGTTATTAGAACACGAGCTTCATGTTGGCCTTGAAATCATTTAATGTACAAGACGATTTTACTGATAGAGGCAGGGCCAGCCAGAGAGAATAGGCAGCGAAAAACGGAGATCTGGTATAAGCTGATGTTCAGGCTTAAGGTAAAGTGCAGGGATTGCGCGTAGGACGAGTGGGAAGAAACCAGTTATATTTACGCAAATGCGGCGGGGCTTTGTCAAGACGAATAGAATAAACAACAATACGCAGTTTCGATATTTCCTGTACCTATGGCGTAGTAAATAGTTACTACCGTAAAACCTGTAACTAATGACCATCCCTTCGGGCCAGAGAAAGCGTTCTTTAGTGGCAGGTGGTCCTTAGTTAGAGGTTTGCACCGCACAACCGTACATGAATGTGAGACTGTCCGTGCCTGGCAAAGTGGTCTGTAGTACCAGGCTGGTCGCTAGTCACAGTGGTCTTTAGTTACAGGTTTTCTGTACACCCTTTACCTGTGGCGGCCATGTGATCTTATCCGAATCAAGATGTCCTTGCTGGGCAGGTGTGTTTATGATTCGTGTATTGGTTCGGCTACTTGCAACAGCACATAGCGGTGACGGTTGAAGGATCTAGCAAAGCGGAGTATGGCCTAGAGCTCTGTCGCCATATTTCATCACAACTTTACGTAAAAAGTTAATATCCATAGTCACTTGCAGTAGACTTCTGAAAACAGACCAGGCTGGGCGCAAAATCGGATCTGCTGATTTTCTCTCGAGGGCTAGGGTGTGCTGCACTGCATGTTAATTTTGTGAAAGTCTTGGATGGCGAAAACTCATATTATCATAGTATGCTTGATATATGACCGCAAACATTCAATGATTATTAATGTCCTGAGTTGGTAACATGGTTGGCAACACTGTGCTTTTCATTGCCTCCTGCCCTGCACTGTACACTGACAGAATGGAGTGAACGATTGTCCAGGGCCTGCAGTATGCCCATCTCCGTCAAGTTCTGATCCCAGCAAACGTTGCTGTCCTACAGACTCGCCTGTGTGGAAGACAGGTAAGGCCAACTACGAGCACTGTATTGTGCGGAGTAAAGGAAAAAAGGGGGTACGACTTATACTGCGAAGAACAAATTTACGGTGATGAATAGGTTAGATATCTATATTGCGTGGCAACAAAAATGGGGTTGCGGCTTATACTCCAGTGTGGCTTATACTCCAGTGTGGCTTATACTCCAGTGTGGCTTATACTCCAGTGTGGCTTATACTCCAGTGTGGCTTATACTCCAGTGTGGCTTATACTCCAGTGTGGCTTATACTCCAGTGTGGCTTATACTCCAGTGTGGCTTATACTCCAGTGTGGCTTATACTCCAGTGTGGCTTATACTCCGGAAAATACGGTAATCAGTACAACAAGCGACCTAATTATTCCATTTCGAAACATTCGCAGTAGGGTAGGACCATTTTGGTTCGTCAAAATCCATCGTCGCTTGGGTTCCCCTCTCTTTTTTTAGTCTTTATTATAATGATTTACAGAAGGTGCCTGGTTCGAATTTTGGAGGTTCAGCTTCCAGCTGCCTTATTGACACTTCACTGAGCCACTACTGCCATCTGGAGCACACCACTAGCATGCTTGACTGTCTACTGGGAATTCAGCCCTCATCAGCTGAGCTCGAGTAGGCTAATGCTATTTCGTGCCCGGAGAACACTGCATTCTCCTGATTATGTGATGCTCTCGGAACATGACTGGACCATTACCAAAACAACGACAGCCAAACTTTGCACATTGTAGTGATACCACTAGTTCCACAGTACACGACAAATTCCTGCTCCTTCTTTTCTAAATGTGGCTTATGCATTCGCCTATATATGGCTAATATTCATCTATTCCACTCCTGGTCTATTTCTACCACTTGTAATTGCAATTCATCAGCAATAATTGCACACAGAGACCTTTCCTGGGGGTCTTAGCCATTGGGTAACCTCTATTTATTCATTTTAAAGAAAGAGATGCATTGTGGGAAAGATCGAAATGCACTTCAATAACATTGCTTCCACTTCGACCATTTTCGAGGCCGCAAATTTGTCTTGAAGTTTAATAATATTACTAGGATTAATTAACTGGTGACAGACAAAGAGATAATGCATTCCGTGAATTGTCTTTCGATGACACGGCGTTCGGTGAACTGTCAGCTCTGCGAACAATCGGCTCACGTTGGTTTCTGTTCTTGTCCTGTTCGAATGCAGATATCGATGAGTGTCGCAACTCTAAAATTAATGATTGTTCCTCGTCTGCTACGTGCAGTAACAGTTACGGATCATACATGTGCACGTGCAGCACGGGTTTCTGGGGAAACGGTACAGCGTGTGCAGGTGAGTGTAATCTAAAAATAATGTACTAGTAATATTGTTCTACCCACGGCGCAGAGCACCACTCATCGTGCGTTGCCCAGTAACTAATAGCTTCATGCCCATAGGCAATCACCAATCACCAATCACCAGACAATTTACAACGAATTGCGAACGATGCGCGGTGCTTTTTTATTTATTTTTTATTTTTACAATGATCACAGCTCACAGGCGCTAGGCAAAGACAAAAAATTGCATAGTGGGATCATAGGGATGGTGAGGCTTTTTGCCCTTAGCCGACCTGAGGTCTCGACGTCATGGGGACATAAAACGCACCAAAAAAAACCGCTCTGTGCCGTGTGTAACTGTAAGCTGTACAGGTTCCTGCACGAGTACGAGGGCAGTACCGCGGAATCCAGCCCGCGCCGCCATAGCGGCAAGGGCTGGATGAACAGCGGTACTGGCCGAGTACGAGTATGAGTGACTGGACCGTGTTTCCCGTGTGCACCCAAGCCAAATAAAGAGATTCATGACAGACACACGTACACCTGCATTGAGTTTTGTGATTGTTTTTGTTTGTTTGTTTTGTACTTCTTGAAGTAGTAGTCCATAGTGCTTTTGTTCTCGTGGTGCCATTGCCATTGTCGACTGAGCATCGGGCATTCTGGCTGTTCTGTTCCTACGGATTTTTCCCACGTCTTGATCGGACACCTCGGCGGGTCCTGCAGGTTGCTGAGCATTGCGCTCTTTGGTTGAGGGTCATCCGGCTCGTCCAAGATCTCCTTCGCGAGCGACTCCGCAATAAAAGTTTCAGTCTCTTCCTCAACTTTTCGGAGGATCTCATTCACATCGCCAATATCGTTCAACAAAGGGTCATCCTAATAAAGATATTATTATTATTAAAGGGGAAGTATACCCTAAAATCAAATTTTCACCAGTTGTAGTCTTCGGGGTGCTGAGTCGAATGGTCTTGGTCCGAGGAAGCTGCGACGCTCCCTTCCTACTTGAATCCCAATCGAACTCGCGCACTTCCACCGAAACTGGGTGACTGCGCCCTACTAGATGGGGATTTGTATGCAAAATGCCACTAAAAGCGCCATTTCGTTCTTATAAAAGCACGGATGACCGCGATTGGCCCATATGTTGTACTCTTTTGGACGCTGAGTCGACTGGTTTCGGTCCAAAAAGGCTGCGATGCAGCGTTCCTCCTTTATTCCCAATCGAACATGGTTGAACAAGCGGTCACGTGCTCCTGCGTACACCAGTCACCTGGTCACCGTGCCTGCAGGTATGCGCGAGTTCGATTGGGATTCAAGTAGGAAGGGAGCGTCGCAGCTTCCTCGGACCAAGACCATTCGACTCAGCACCCAGAAGACTACAACTGGTGAAAATTTGATTTTAGGGTATACTTCCCCTTTAAAGGGGCTTCTTTTCTCACAGTTCCAGATCAAATGTTGGAGCGCCATAACTAGCCATGATGACAGTTGTGGAAACAGTCGCCCTTCTGCTTTAGGTATTTTATTGGTCAGCTCTTTTTTTGATCTTGTTGGTTTTCCACCTACAATTGTAGTCGCTCTTTCCGCGCAATCCGGTGCCTTGTATTTTATGAAACATACGGCAAGTAACCAATGAAAGACCATGAAGTAGAGTAGTAGTAGAGAGTCAGTCCACTGGAATCCGTTCCTGCCCGTCGTCAAGTGACGACGGGCAGTGGCAGCCGTTCCTGCCCGTCGTCAAGTGACGACGGGCAGTGGATCCAGTTCCATCACCAGTTTGAGCAGGCAGGACCGCGCTTTCCAGCCCGCGCTGTTTGATCTGTCTTTGGTCCACTCCAATGCGACAATCACGTGACATACGGGAAAGCTCTATTTGAACCGTTCAGAACGAATATTGAGCACTCTACTACACTACTACTGTACTGCCGGAGGACTCTCATTAAATTTTGTAATATTTTTCTAAGACTCACAGTACTAGACTGCAGATCGCGATTTCAGGGTGCACTTCGAGAAAATTAATAGTGCGATGTATCGAACGGGTGCAAAGTTTGCCACCTTTGACCCCGCGCAAGCCGCATACTTCGAGTAGGTCCATCTGTAGTTGTTTGTAGTGGATCGAATCTGCGAGTGTTCGCCTGGTTTGTTTGAGATGCTTCTTTCGTTAGATGGAAAGCAACCATGCCGAAGCTTTGGGTAATCCTGAAATAAAGAAAGATTATTATCATGAAGAGTAGCCCGTTGGTCCAGTTCCGCAGCGCCAGGTCGTCTAGCTGATAGTTGCACAGTGATAAAAGAAACTAGGAAGCCGAGGTGCGTCCAGTTCACATGGCTTCTCAGAGTTGGTAGTTGGTTCGCCTTTGATAATCTCAGCCAGCAGCCCTGGAGGGAATGTTTGGACGGTATGGTGCTACTCGCCCTGGAGTGAAGCCATTCTTACCTGAGGTAGAGAGCGAGCTCCTCGAACAAGTCCATGAACAGCGACAGAAAAATAGGAAGGATCCAGCCATGATTCCACTTCAAGCAAAGAACTATGGCGGACGCACGAAAAAGGACGCAGCCAACTCATTTTTACAAAAATTAATAGTGTTGATGCCATCGCATCGGAATATGTAACTCTGGTGAACAAGGTGGCTGATGAACGATGAGTGCAACGAGTTAGCTAAGGGAGGCAAACAAAGAGCCCAAAAGAAGGAGAAGATATGCACCTATAGCAAACGCCTGTACGTGCGTTCTTCCGACTCGGACTAGCATCCCTGAATCCATACAGACGAAAATAATCGTCCAAGAAGTGCTACATCTCCAACACTCTGTCTGAATGGCGCTGAGGATGCTAATGTCACCGTGACTGACAACGATGTTGATGGCCGCAGAGGGTGAGACGATGATGAAAGTTAAACACCTACAATACCGACGATCCTGGTAGCACGAGTTGGCCAAGCACAACACAGGTGCTATGTCATTTCGGAATAGAACGTTTCTTTCAAGGTATGATGCAATTTACTGTCCCACGATGTGACGGGAATGGCACGGGTCTAGCTAGGAAAGAAAGGCAACCCGAAAGTCATGGGCACTTCGGTCTACCGGGCACCCTTTGGTCCATCCGGCACCCTTTTGACGAGTTTTAGTGGAAATACTCTTTTGTCATTTGACTCATTTATGTCTAAATAGCAACGTCATTTGCCACATCTATGGCCTTTCTCCATCAAAAACGTATGTATGTGTGCGAGTTATGGACATTTCAAAGTTACGGACGGCGAGATAAACGAGGTATGAGTGCAGTCTTTCAGTTGCAAGAATTGCAAACCTGTGCAATTTCAATCTCGAAGATTGTCGACTATGGACCCTCAGGATACTGGGAAACTGGTGACCTATCCTGCAACACAAAGTTGAATTGTTCCAGATGCACTAATTGTGCGCCGTATACAAGTTAGAATCGTTGGTGGACAGTTTGTCCTAACTCGTAATATTTTTGTCCTGCTTCTCTTGTTTCCATTTCTATTTTGTTTCAGAATGCGAAGTCGACCCGTTGTCGAATCTTGAACAAAGCCAAAAGTGGATATCTCCAACTTGCAAAGCTGGCTTTCAGCATATCAAAACCCCTGGGAAACCTAGTTGCCCGATATCGTCGAAAACTGGTCTTTGGGAGAACGTTGGAGTGTGCAAAGGTTAGATGTGAGCTGTGCTAGAACTGGGTTTTTTTAACCTCTTATACGGGCAATCACAGAACATGATTTCACTGGCCTGACGCAACAAATAAAGAAAAAGCAAACCAAAACAAACAAAAACAATTTAAATAAAAAGAAAATGAAACTTTACAATCTGCACACAATGACAACTCCATCTAGGATAGCCTCTGTTGATCAGCTAGAACTGGGTAGCATGTGTGCAGAATCGCACTACCCTGCGATACATCGTGCATGAGTTTCTGCACTCACACGCACGTGTGTGCAGGCGCGTAGCTCATGTATAGTCAGCGGGGTCCTGTCACCACACCAGTAAACAGCCGTCATGGGTACAACACAGTCAAATTGGCGAAATGGTGACTATGATGTTGCCGGTGGTACGTGTGCGAGCTACGCCCCTGCGTGTGTGTGTTTTGTAAGTGTGTGTGTGTGTGTGTGTGTGTTTTGTGTGTTTTGTGTGAGTATTGTGTTTGCTTGCACGTGTGATAATGCATACACTTATTGGGTACGGTAGGTCTTTGTAGACAGAGAGAGAGAGAGAGAGAATAGCTGCTACGTTTCGTCGAAACGTAGCAGCTACTGTAAAAGCGGAAAGTCTAGCAAGTCACAAAGTCTGACGGTTTAACGACCAATTTTTTTGTTATTGGAATAATACGTTATCGCTAGATGTTTGTGTAAAAATGCGCATACAGATGGGTGGCCAGGTAGCCATTGTTAAACTTTCTGCACGTAATCATGCCAATATTACAAAACGTCAAACTTGTTGGTCGTTAGATTTTCGGTTTTACAGTATTAGACTTGCTTAAAGCTGAGAGTCCTTGAAACTCAGAAGAACAGGGAACCACATTGGTTGAGAGAGAGAGAGAAAGAGAGAGAGAGAGAGAGAGAGGGAGAGAGAGAGAAAGAGAGAGAGAAAGAGAGAGAGAGAGAGAGAGAGAGAGAGAGAGAGAGAGAGAGAGAGAGAAAGAGAGTCGTGGTGTGCTATAGCATTTTTTGCCAGTGTTTCAATTCCGCCATATTTCCATCACACAGCGAGACAATGGACAGGTAGATGAGAGGTCGCGTGAGACTCGACTGGAGGGCGTGTTTTCCGCCTCTGTAGAAACCCACCACTCTTCATCTGTCAAGGCGCTGGTGCAGCTCCTAACGAGGTGGCAGGCAGGCATAGTGGGATGGGTCTAAGACCATGATTGGTTGACCACTTTGGGGTGGCTCTGATCTATGAATCGTAGTCAATGCATAGAGGTTCACGAGTTTCCATAGAGGGTGGTGGTGTTCCTACAAATGCGGAGAACTCGGTCTCACTGGAACCGGGAATGTTTCATTTTTTCATCATTTGTGGCTGATGTTCCTTTGTAACATGGTTCCTTTCCATTTCCCTGGGTGTGTGATGGCAGGAATCGATGAATGCAGCACTGGAACTCATGACTGTCACTCATTGGCTGTCTGCACAGACACATTTGGATCGTTCACATGTAGTTGCATTGCAGGTTTCTCTCTTGAAGGAAAGAAGTGCAATGGTGAGTGTCACATGGTGTGTGTCATGTGCTGGAACCTGGCTGTGATGTGCACGACGCATTGCTCATGCCATCCAATTGGAATCTGTTGTGACGGTATCATGCGAAAGCAATTATCAGCCCCCCCCCCCCCCCCCCCGCTGATCCTACATTAACCCCAGACAAACAATCATCCCTCTACTGGCCATGCGCGTGTCTTGATTCCAACTACAGTTGCACGTTATTTCTGACGTGACGCGAAAGTTCGACTCGCATTATTTGGCTCGCGCGTCGAAAACAACTGCAGCTCGCGTCGAAATTTGGAGTTTTACGCCAAATTTGACGTGAAATTGCACGTCACGTCGTCAACAACATGCATCTTAGGGCATTATGGATTCGGCGAATCCAGAGCTAGTGCGCTCCGAGTGAGCGTGATCGTTTGGTCGAATCCAGAGTAGGTGTACTTGGAGTGGAATCCGACCACACCGGCCCCCAAACCGGGAGTGGCTGGAGTGGAAATGGACTTTGCCGTTTTTGAACAGCGTTCACAGGATCTTTGTACGATATGCGTACACTTTGCGCACAACACCCTTGTTTTGTTCGATAGGGCCAGCGTTGCTCGGACCACACCGCCTGCTCGCACTCAATCTTGATTCGCCAATCGATGACACCCTTAACCTCCCTACTATGGAGACTTCAGTAGGTTCACCGTAAAACGCTAACAACGGTGTGTTTCTTTCGTTCTCCTATTTGGTTGCAGAGATCGACGAATGCCGCAGTGGCACTCATGATTGTCACGCTTTAGCAACCTGCACCAACACTGTGGGTTCATTCACGTGTGTTTGCAATAAGGGGTATTCAGGTACTGGTCAACTATGCAAAGGTAAGCGTTACGACATTGCATGTTCTGCAATCGTCTGATGTGCGCAACGTATTCCTTTGCCCGCAGCAAAGGTGTGGGCAAACTGCCTGAAAAGCACTCTAAGTGCGGGTATTAATATACTTGGGGAGAATAAGTATCTATTATGGACTGAGTACGAGGTCAATATAGGAAATAAAGCCGAGTAAAAGACCGAGGCGAAGCCGAGGTCTTTTACGAGGTTTTTATTTCCTATACTGACCAAGTACGAAGTCAATATTAGATTTATCACGACAAACAGTCCGTATTTCAAATTCCAAAACGATAACCTCATGAATCCCGGTTTTATGATTGCACAACCGTTGCACCACCACCTACTCATGCGGTGACAATGCTGCACTGCGCACTGGGCACCGTTCAACTGCGCAACCCCTAAGCAGTCAAATATAAGCAGTCAATATAGCCCTAAGGAGTGAAATATGCAGGTATATTTGACTGCTTAGGTATGGCAAAAAACTATGTGAGTCAATACTAAGGGAGTGATAAGCTTGGATATGAATTCAAAATCCAGATATTTGTCTTCTTTTAAAGGTAAAGTATCGTGAGAGCGCCTTGGTTTTACTGTCAGAGAAAGGGAAATCGCATGGCAGAGTACGAGTTTGCACAGTGTGAGAACCTTAGTGCACGTTCGTGTGTGTCGCTCCAAGGTGAAGTGTGAATGCGTTGACTGCACAAAACATGCAACATGTGGACAAGGTACTGGAACGTACTTTCCGTTACGGAGAATGATTATCCTTTCCATGTGAACATGAATATCAATTGAGTGTGTGACCGTGGGAGGAACTAGTAAGACAGCAAACCATACATAGAGTACAACAGTCACACATCTCCAACAATTTTGTGCTGAAAGATGCGTACATAGTGCATTAGGCGATGGTATTCAGTTACAACGGTGCAACAAGTGTTTGCATCAGACGTTTGTTTGTTTGGCTTCCATTCCTCATCTGCCGCAGACTCCCCCACAGCCGATTTACACACGTATTAGACTTGACTCATCAACTCCAAGCACACAGCCTCTTTAATGCTATTTAAATCAATGCACATCTCACCATAATCAGAGCGATTACATGAAATAGATAGCCAAGATTCAGTGCATAGGTACATTGAATTAAGTTTTAGTTTTATTCCAAGCAATTCATGGCTGGGGCAACCAATGACCACTTTGCGTGGCGATTTCAGGGTTTTTATAGTCAACCACGGCTAGCAAGAAAAATGAAGTTGAAAAGAAAAGGAAGACAAATTAGAAGGTATGGACTAAAATTACTGTCTAAAGCAAGGCTTTCCTGAATGTGTATGAGTACAACATAAACCGAGTGAGAAAGCTAACATCTTGCTTCCCCGTCCCTCTCTTTCCTGAATGTGTATGAATACAACATAAGCATACTGAGAAAACATACTGAGAAAGCTAACATCTTGCTTCCCTGTCCCTCTCTGATTGCAGATGCGGACGAGTGCAGCTTGGGAACTCATGACTGTCCGGCTACTGCCATCTGCTCAAACGTGGTGGGATCGTTCACGTGTGCTTGTGATCTGGGCCTGCACGAGAACGGGAACACATGTAATGGTGAGTGGCATCGGCGTGTTTCATGCTCCGTCTGAACTGTCTGACGTGCCCATCGTAGTACGTACAGCCAGACCTCGCATAACCGCACACGTCCGTTTTCCACCAAAAATATCCGGACAGGCGAGGGAACCGGATAATCGAACACACGTACTGTATGTATGCATGACATATGCTGTAAATCGGTAGCCAGCGATTTTCTTCCGGATGGCGAGTGATCCGCATAAAAAAAACGACCGGATAAGCGATGTCTGACTGTACTGTGTATTCCTGAGTATGAGGCACACTTTACAACACCAGGAATTCACCCAAAAAATGACAGTGTGGCTTGTAGTGGAATCCGACCACATAACACCGGCCCCCACATCGGGAGTGGCTGGAGTGGAAATGGACCTTGGCGTTTTTGGACAGCTTTCACAGAATCTTTGTACGATATGCGTACATTTTGCGTACTACACACTTGTTTATTCGATTGGGCCAGCGTTGCTCGAACCACAGCGGCTGCTCGCACTCAATCCAGATTCGCCAATCGATAATCAACTGAATCGTGAAATCACGACAGCGTAGATGTCCGTATTTCATGACAGACAAATCCTGGGGTGGCTTATACAGGTCCTCCCTCGCTATAATGAGTCCGGTTAGTACGTAAACCCCGATAGTAAATAGAAATCCGACATCCCCTGGTGAAACATGGTCTATACAACTGTTTCCTAGTCCGGTTACAAGATAATTTGTCAGTACATAAAATTTGTTATAACGACTCTTGACCTAAGTCCCTGGAGGGCAAACCCTCGGTTTGTCCTAGCACTCTTATGTGCTGTCTCTAACTTTTACGCACTGCTTCTCAATTCCACTCACTGTCTCTCACGTACCGGTACGCCGACTGTTTCTTCTCTTGATCTGTCCACTGCAGAGGCCACTAAGTGTGCCAGTAGCTGCATTGAAATCAGTGCACTGCCAATAGCTTATGCCAATCCCGCTAGTGCGCATGCGATATGCCAAGGGAGAAAGACTGCATATCACCAAAGTGCCAAGTTGGTTTCCATGGGCAGGAGACCGTGCGCTCTCGACCATTTCAAGGCGATCGGCATGGACTCAGACAAGGTGTTCTGGACAGCAGATGTGGCCCAAAGCTTAACCGGCCCACCTAAATTTCTTTCGAGTACATCAAACTGGGTTGACCAGAGTGAGGAGCATCTCGTAGTCTGCGAGTACGAGACCACTAAATGCAGTAAGTGAATTAAAAAACGAAATGTTTTCTTTCTATCACCTGTCTTCTGATGGGTCTGTCCTCAGACAGCATTGGAACCCCAGCCAAGGTCAAATTTATGTCCAAGCGCAGTCTTACCTAGGTTATCCGGACCCCGAACTTACGGGCACTTCGGTCTACCGGGCACCCTTTGGGTGAGTGTCAGTGGAAATATTACTACTCTTTTGTCACTTTTTGTGGAAATAGTGACGTCACATGCCCTTTCGGATTCCATGGCCTTTCCCCATCACAAGGCATGTGATTCGGGCAGTGCCTGGTCCCCCGGACAGCCCGGATAAACTAGGTAGGATTGTACATGCAAAGTGTGCTGGCATGATTCTACGCACCTTAACGTTGCATTTCTTTGTGACTAGGCAATAGTGTAACTTGAAAACAAATTGGCGAACTGTTTGTTTACCCGACCCCTGTCTCCCTACCAAATCCCCTATCCCCTACCATTTTCCTGGCTAGCGTAAACTTCCGGAGAGCTCTGCTTCTAGCAACTCGTCAGCATATGGCATGATCCCCGTTCTTAATAGTGATATCGTGGATTTCGCTCCAAGCCTTATTCTTATTAAATGTGATGTATTGCTGTGCGTGTCCCGGGAGCAACATCGACGTGTCTTTACTGTTGACTCCTGATGTAACAACTTATTAACAGGCACCAATGTGCACCAGAATCAATACTTTATTCCCGAAGTTCGTTACAGAAATGCACCTACCGTGGGTTCGAAGTGGCACATAGAGAACGGTTCACTATGCCACGAAATTGGCTATTACGCGAGTTTGCTATTATTATTTTTTTTTATCGTCTCCACTTCATGGCACATAAGTGGAGTCGACTGTATTACCTTGGCAGAAAATGCTTACGCACCTAACGTTGTTGAAGATCACTTGAGCTCTACCATATTTCCCCAATCACAAGTCACACTCGGTTATAAGTCGCACCCCCCCCCCCCCCCAGTCAGGTTTGAGACATGTTGCTTTAATACAGTCACGTAGGTAACACGTCATGCTCGATCGTAAGTCGCATCCCTTTTTTATTGCCGTTGACGTAAAACATAAAACAAGCGACGTATATTCAGGGAAATACCTCACCCGCACAGTTTGACAGCGGTGTGATGCGTTGGCCGCATGCGTATGCGGAAAGATGAGTGTGTGTGTGTGTGTGTGTGTGTGTGTGTGTGTGTATGTGCGTGTGTGTGTGTGTGTGTGTGTGTGTGTGTGTGTGTGTGTGTGTGTGCATTACTATTTTGTACCTGTGTGTCTTTGTGTCCCTATTTTTGGAACAGAGCGCACACCATGCAGACAGACCTGTTCAGACATTAGCGTATTTCCGCTGCAGAAGACTCCTTTCTATTTAGCGGAGAGCGTGTGTCAGAAGAATCTAAGAAGCTTCGGTCATGCCGGGTCTGAGTACGTGTTTGCTCAGGTCGCCAGTCTCGAGAGCGAGCGTAACTTTGGATGCGTGTCCCGTCACCTTCAAGAGACCAGAATGAGCGGCACTCTTGTGTTTGGTGGATATGGAACGGCGCCTAATGGCACACTCCTAGCGTCTAATGGATTGGCTTTGCATTTCGAGCAAGAAGCCTATGTTGTGTGCGAGTACCAGAAAGAGTGCAGTAAGTAAAATGACTTCTTCCTCATTCAATTCTGTTTTGACTGCACGACATTTATGTCCTGTTTCGCTTTCGCTCTCGCTCTCCCTTCCCCAAAACACGGTGCATTGAGCAGGGAGTGATCCTTTCTTGCAGATTTGCTGAGTGGAAGTTTCGATGGACTTCTCGTGTGCTCTGGATGGCAGTCATGAGTCAGTCAAGTGAGAATTCAAGTCGGCAGGAATGGCGCAAGCTCCCACGTTGGGAGCAACACAGAACTCTCCAAGTATAGCCGAAGTCGCACCAACCTTTTCTTCACATCGTAGTGATCTGGTTGCGTGATTTTATTTTTTATGCTGTGATGTTCCGGTTGGATTTGAGTGGAAATATTTATGACGCCATAGGCAATGGTGACAACTCCCCAGTGTTGTTTGATGAGTGTTTTTTTTGCGTTTCCAAATACATACTCTTTTCAATACAGGTTTGGTCAAATACGAATACTGCAAAGGTCACGTTTACCGCAGATCCCGTGACTATCAGATCTATAACTACCCGGATGCTGTGAAGATGTGCGGCAACGCGGGCGCCACCCTTCTTAGCCTTATTTCATACTCCGGTCATTCATGCGCATCAACTTTAGTCGATCACAACATCATCGCTTGGCGCGGTACCGCAACTCTTAATGCAGCCATAGACACCAGCTACAAACTAGTCTCCGATGTGACGTCATCCAAGCGCTCCGTCGTATGCCAATTCCGTAAGCTATGTATCATGTTACTTTCTATAATACCCCAGTTAAACCTGGTGTAAGCGACCTCTGCTTTTAGCGACCACCTGCTCTTAACGACCCTTTTTCCATGCGCCGACAGTCCTACACAGACACTGTGGGACCTGGTTCTAAAGACCACCTGGCTTTAAGGACCTCTTTTGCTTGCACCTTGTGGTGGTCGCTTAAACCAGGTTTTACTGTACTCAGTTTGGGAGGTAAATACATCTTATGTTTCCAAAGCGGCCCCTTACTAGTAGGGAGCATTTCATGAGTTCTCATTGTTTTTGCAAACGTAACGCATTTCGAATAGACTCCCCCTACCTCCCCCGCCCCCTCTTTTCGAAAGTTTTGTCGCCCATTTTCTGTGTAGATCTACTGTACATGTCCATGCCCAATGCTATGGTATGCTTATGTACATGGATAGTGTGGTAGTGCATACGTACGGCATCGTTTGAGTACAAGTACAATCAATGACATGTACATGCACATAACACATAGTACCTCCACAACAACTGTACAATGTACTGCAAAGCTGGCCAGGTACACGGTTTGATCATGCCGTTGTGGCATTTGACAGCTCTGAGTAGCCTGCATGCTTGCATGCCGTGCAAGAGTAAGCTGATCTGAAAACACAGGTACTAGCAGATCTACACCTAAACAACTGAAGCCATCTAGCACATTCACTGCACAGTAGCATGTCCGATGTGAAGATTAACGTTAGGTTAATTCGCAGATTGTACGCAGTGAGCTTGGAGGAAGGGAGGGAGGGAGAGAGGGAGAGAGAGAGGGAGAGAGGGAGAGAGAGAGGGAGAGAGAGAGAGGGAGAGAGAGAGAGAGGGAGAGAGAGAGAGAGAGAGAGAGAGGGAGAGAGAGAGGGAGAGAGAGAGAGAGAGAGAGAGAGAGAGAGAGAGAGAGAGAGAGAGACAGAGAGAGACAGAGAGAGAGAGAGACAGAGAGAGACAGAGAGAGTAAGTTACATTTATAAAGACAGGTAAGTCTAACAAATGAGGACTGAGACCTCTACAACAGGGTTTTTACGCCTGAAAGCAAGTGCATGATTTAACAAGCAGGTTGTCAGTCTAGATTTTATGCGCAGATGGAGAAAAAGCGCAGAATTTTTGTAATGAGATGAAAAGCAGAAATAATAAGAAATAATAAGAAAAGATGAAATGAAAGCCTGCTCACAACCCCGCCCAGCCTTGCGAACTGGGTATGGTGGATTAAGAACCCGGTTCAACGCTCGAGCAAGCGCTCTCCACTCAAGGTGTTCACAGCAACTGATAGGAACTCATATGGGGAAATTATAGAAAAGAAATAATAAGATAAAGAGAATAAATTTCAACGCACCTCAATAAACGGAGCCCCACATACAGTACCTCAGAAAAGTGGATCTTCCGACCAGTGTTTTTGCTGACGCCGCAACCAGATGATGTAGCTGCTTCGCAGAGACGTCTTACTGCACAAATTACAAATAAATTTTATTCTTCGATTAGAAAATCCAAGCGCTTTCAGAGCCCTCCGAAGAGAGTCCGGGATGAAACCACGCACACCTACCTCAACCGAAAAAGAAACGACCTGCCACCCGTTTGCTCGGCATTGATCGGCCAGATCCGCATACCGCCTGTCCTTCCGCGAGTTACTGACACTGAATCTGTCCTCAGCACAAACTGTCAACTCCATCCAGAATACAATCCTACGACTCGTAGAGTACAGAACTATATCTGGTCTTAGGGTGGTAAGTGCAACACAGCTAGGGAAAGAAATCTTTGCACTAACTGAGTCGACAAGAAGTTTCCAGTCTGAGGCCGCTGACAGGAGATCAGTCGTAACCAACTTTCGTCTGGGCTGAACGCGAACTGGCTTCTCTCCCGCCTTGCAAAACGAGATAAAGTCAAGCTCATTTGAATTTTCGGTCTGTACGGTGTTTGCAGCAGTGCGGATTCGAATCTCCTCACGCATGTTCCTAACGATGACCCCGAGTACGTTGTCGTGCCTCCAGGTGTAACGTCCCTGGTCCAGCGCTACGCGACAAGCGCCAAGCACGTGGCGCGTAGTACAGGCCCAGGTACGGCACAAACTACAGTACGGATCCACTACGGTGTTTCCCCAACGGCGTAGGTTCGTCGGAGAAGGTAGCACGTCGAGGGTTGATGCGAGAAGAAATTTCAAATCCTTACCAGTACCACCGTACAAAAGGGATTTCCACGAGAGGTCCTGCCACATCACCGATGTCCACTCCAACCACTTGCCTTGCAGAGAGAGAGAGAGAGAGAGAGAGAGAGAGAGAGAGAGAGAGAGAGAGAGAGAGAGAGAGAGAGAGAGAGAGAGAGAGAGTGAGAGAGAGAGAGAGAGAGAGAGAGAGAGAGAGAGAGAGAGAGAGAGAGAGAGAGAGAGAGAGAGAAAGAGAGTAAGTTACATTTATAAAGACAGGTAAGTCTAACAAATGAGGACCGAGACCTCTACAACAGGGTTTTTACGCCTGAAAGCAGGTGCATGATTTAACAAGCAGGTTGTCAGTTTAGATTTTATGCGCAGATGGA